CGAGGGCACGCCGTACATGCTACCACGCGCAGAGCAGAGATCCATCACCGCGCTCGTTAATGACGGTACAGACCCCGACCTCCCAGCTGACCTCCCCCTCGTTGACATTTCATATGCCGGCGATGGCACAGTCGTGCTCATACTGCCTGCTGAACAGATGTATGATGCGCTTAGTCAGGTGCTGGTTATAGTATCAGAGGCCTTTGCGCGCCGTGGACATATCCTCAATATTGGGCCGTCTAAGACTGCCGCGCTGATCAAATGAAACGGGCCAGGCACCAAGAACGCACGACATACAGCATGGCACGTGCACGGCGGACGGGTCACGGGACATTCGGATATACTAGGACAGCTCAGTGTGCCGATCGTACACCACTACGTACATCTAGGGTCGGTGATCGATGCGAACTCTGCGATGCTGCCCGAAATACGTTACCGAGCTACCTCGACAGCATCGTCGCTGCAGGTTCTTCGACGACGTGTTTTTTCGACCGACGACCTAGCACTACACCGCCGACTTGTGCTAGCCGACAGTCTGGTCATGTCAGGGCGACTGTACAATGCAGGGGCGTGGGGGGTGCCAACGACCTCGGAGGCCAAGTTGGCCCATCTGGAAACCATGAAGGTATACCGAGCCGCGGCTCGAGTCCGCTTCCAGGAACATGATTCGCAGGTGTCCGACGCCCTTGTGCTTGCGAGGCTGCGCAGACCTACCCCCGCCAACACTCTCCGTGCCGCACGTCTCCGACTACTCGGCTCGCTGTATCATACGGGGCCTCTCCTCGTTTTCTCCCTCGTTGCCGCGGAGTGGCGTGCTGCCTCCGATGCCCCCGCACGCGAGCGCACTACTCTTGGACAGTGGATCCAGGACCTTGCCTGGCTACGATGCGCCGTCAAACAGTGCCAGGACCTACCAGCCCCAGCTGAATACCTCAAACCCTGGGAAACATTTATACGACGAAGCCAGACAGCCTGGAAGCGCATCATACAAGTGGCGATGCACGCGTACACCCAGTACATTTCCAGGAAAGAGCTTGCTTCCCATATGGAACCCCAGTTTTTTGCAGCTGTGAGGCCAGCAGGTGTGCCAGAACGTGTGTATACCGACGAGCACGGGCTAATCGTCCCACCGCCGTCTCCCGTGCAGGCAGCTACCATGGAGTGCCCATGGTGCGGTGAGGTTTTCGCACGACATCGAGCAATGCGCACACATGTCGCCCGTGCACACCGACAGATTGCGACACTTGCGCGCGGTTATGCTGCTAAGGGCGGTTCATGTGCAGTGTGCCTGTTAAAGTTCAACGCCAGACCCCACCTCATCGACCACCTGTCGAGTGATTCCCCTCGACGCCTGCTGGGCGGCCTCTTAACTACAGACAACCCAGCACACCACCTAGCCGACACGACTACACCACCTCGACCAATCGGAGCTACACCCCGCATCAAGATTCCCCGCCGACATGTGATCGTACCCACGACTCGGCTACTTGGGCCGCTCACTCAACTGGCTACCGACCTAGCGACGTTGGTTACACAGGAGTACGCCCGCCAGGTTTTACTTGAATCGGACCCCTACCTCACACCTGCCGCCTGCGCGGCACTCATGCCACCTTCCCCTGTCCCACTCCTAGGCGCTCCCCCACCCGCCCAGTGCCCCCCAGTACAGACGGAGCGGTATCCGACGCGTATGTTTCTGACCGAGCAGTATACACATGCAGCTGCTCAGGTTCTGCCGTCAGCGATCCGACGGTCAGAGTACTACATTCTAAACCTATACTGTGGGAGACGCCGTCCTGGGGATATTCAGGCTTGCTTAGAAATGGAGGAGTACCATACCGATTTCGCCGTATACGTACTTTCGATCGATATCGCTATCGATCCCGTTATTGGCAATATGCTGCGTCGTGAATCCCTAGACATTTGGAAGGAACACATCCGGGCCAAACGTGTTGCGCTGTCAGGAAAAGGGCCCCCGTGCGAAACACGGGCTGCCATGCGCTGGGCCCTTCACAAGGGCCCCCCACCACTGCGTTCCCACGACGACTTCTGGGGCCTGCTATCGGTTGCGCCGCGCCAGATGGAACAGCTACGTGTGGGCAATGAGCTCCTTGGAGCCATGATTGAGCTTTTCGCCGAACATTTGATTGTGGGCACTTGCTGCTGGATGGAGCATCCCATGCCAGCCGACTGGAGACAGGCAGCTGTGAGTTCTTTCTTTTGCCCCCCCCTACGGGCCATCATGGCCTCCCCAGCCGCGACCGTGACAGACTTCGACCAATGCGAACACGGCCAGGTTGCTCGAGCTCCCACCCGTATTCTGGCGCTGCGGATGGAAACCCTTTCTGGCAGGCTTCTGGAGACCCCAGGTCGTGGAAGATGTTCTCACGGACGGGGGGCCCACGAGGTACTCATGGGGTTCGATCGGGCCCGAGACGAGTGGCGTACTGCCAAGAAGAAGACATACCCTCCTGCTCTATGTCGAGTGTTGGCCGACGGTATCACAGACGCGATCAACCATATGTGTGTGACGTGTGACGACGATACACTGCCAGAGGACATGAGGGAGGAGGAGGAGGAATTTCGTGGGTCCCTGTCAGCTTTTTATGTAGCATGGGACCCATATCTCGGTACTGACGAGTCTTGGGCGCCCGATTTTGTCGATTCTCGGTCCCGGAAGGTGCGCGCCGATCCAGAGCGCCACAGGTTCCTCCCCCCCGAATCGCCAGCCACCGAGTTTGCAGACGCAGGCGTTGTGTATGATTCCACTGCGGAGCCGCGGGACCCCGGCCCGATCGAGGCCTCAGAGGAACAGGAATATGCAGATGTACTTGCTTTCCTGGATGGCATTGAGTTGCCACCACCTGGCTCGCTTGCTCCGCCCCTTGTACCCGTTACCCAATCTCCGTGTCCCCCGCCGCCCCCACAGCCCGTTGAGATTACACCCGAGTTGCGTACCCTAATTGCTGCCAAGCGTGCGCAAGCTAGAGAGCGACGTCGGATTCGACTCGCTCAGCGAATAGCCCCATGGACTTTCCAACCCGGTTTCGGGGTAGGGCTGTTTGATAATGCGCATGAGTACATAGGATGTTGGGTGGAGGGCCTCAGGTGTAGGTAGTGGATGGGTAAGGGATTGCTTTCTCAGTCAGGCACTTTGTCAGCCCTGGCCTTGCTCTCACAAATGTTTCGTCTTTCGAGCCTCGCGTTGCCTCTTTCATCTCACCTTATTAGATGCTCACAGACACCCGCGCCACGCACACGGCACTTGGGTGGACCACCGTCTTGGGTGGTGACAGGCTAGCAGGCTGACAGTGAGGTACTTGTGCGGCCGTGCTTTGATCTCTCCGCCTATGTTGCCAGTGTTTCGAGCTTTGCGAAGACCTTGCTTGTGGCTGGTGCTATGGTTAATACGTGCCCTCCTCGTTTGGATAGCCCCGTGGTGGTATACAGATAACCCCCAGCTCAACCGTCAGTTTCGAGCTGAGCTGGAATCACGTCCGCTGAATGAGCTTGCATTCCATAGCCGTCTGACCTCCAGAGTTGCGCCACAGTAGGCCTAACTTTCGTGTGGATCAGTTTTGCTGCAGACAGCCTATCTTGGACCATGGATGTGTGCCTGTAGGCCACCTTCAGTTTCCAGGAGTATCCGATTGCAGCAGTTTCAGGTGATTTTTGTAGTATGGAGGGAACGCTGGGTGATGGGATTGGTTGGTCGGGCAGCGGAGGTTTTAGCAGCAAGGCAGTGTAGCAACAGTCAGAGAGAGCGGCAGCCCGCCTCTCTTGCTCTCTCGTGCGCACGCCTGCCTGCATGTGCTGTCCCGCCCGCTTGCCCACTCTCTCGCTGACAATAAATTTCAGACAGTGCGTAACAGGTTTCACTGAAAGCAGTTGACGTGCGCAACTGTCGACAGCTCGAGCGTCAGCGTGGTCGGCCGAACCGAGGGTCGAACCGTGAGGGGAGGGGGCCATAGTGGGCGCTCCGAAAGGAACTCGCGAAGCCCCCGCCCCACAGCGGCGCTCGCCGAGGTAAAGTCGTTGAGTGCAGCTGTTTTGAGAGCTGACAGCGGTCGAGGAGATCGCAACATGTATTCGGGAGGGGGTGGAGTATGTCAGGTTGGGCGGACGTGCTGAGTTCAGAGAGGCATGTGCCTGCCTCTCTTGCTTCTTTCCGCCGCCGCCTGCTTGCCACCCGCTCGCCTGCTCTCTCTCCACCGTCAACCTGGACAGAGGTGCGCCCCCTCGCGTTTCTGTCACCGACCGACCATCAAGCTTCAAGCCTTGGCCCGTGGGGGGCAGCGGCAGGGGGCTCGGTGAGCGTAGTCCGTCGCTAACCACACACCCGTTGCGTGTGGCACCGAACCCCCGAGTGTCCGTCGGTCCGCGCGTCGCCAGCCAGGCGCTCATGCGGTTGCACGCCGCAGCCCCCGCTTGCCGCCAGCCTTTCTTGCTTTTGTCTTGCAGATAAGGATGGGAGTGGGAGTGGCCGGTAGTTTTGAGGAGGGGTTAAGTCAGCGAGTACATCTCTGTCAAGCGTGTTGTCCTGGTGCTGCCAGGGTTACGCCGAGAGCAACCGTGCAGGATTGCCCACCCTGGCCGCCGCCACTTCCTGGCCACGGTTGAAAGTTTCAATCCTTTGCCGCCTAGTACCAGTCGTGCGCGCAGTTAATACTATGGGACTGGGTGGGATTCATGGGATTTGGCAGGTTGGTTGGAGGAAGTTACTGTCTGACTTGACTTCAGGTGCCCGTGCAGAGTTTGCGAGTTTCGCCTCTTAGTACAGCCACACGAGTTGACTGTGCTGACTGCCTCTGCTAGCAGCAGCGCCGCCATTAGCTGACAGGCCATACGCTTCATCAGCAGCGCAATCCAAAAATCCCTCCTCCTCCTCCTCCTCCTCCTCCTCCTCATCCTCCTCCTCCTCCTCCTCCTCCTCCTCCTCCTCCTCCTCCTCCTCCTCCTCCTCCTCCTCCTCCTCCTCCTCCTCCTCTTCCTATGCTAGCAAGACTGCAACAGGTCGAACGGCTGACCAAGAACATTCTGCAAGGGAGGACTCCAGTGGCAACACCTGCTTGAGGCACCGCGGGGGACGGACCCTGGTCGACCCTCTTGGGCGCGCCCTGGGGCTCTCTTGGGCCGTTTTGGAGGGCACATTGGGGGGCTGTTCCGGGGCCTCTTTTGGTGTTGTTTTTGGATCTCTTGGGGGCCTCTTGGGGCTTCTTGGGCGCTTCTTGGAGCCTCTTGGGGTCTCCTGGGGGCCTCTTGGGCCAAAACGCTCGAATCTTCGGTTCCTCGTCCCCGTCTTGGGCGCGACTCGGGGCGTTCTTGCGGTGTTTGGGCGCCTCGGGGGCCGTCTTGGCCCCCTTGTGGGCCGTCTTGGAGCCCTCTTGGGGGCATCCTCGACCGGCTTGGGTGCCTCTTGGGCCGTCTTGGACGCAGTGGAAGCCCAAAGGCGAACATGCCAAAAAGATCAGTTTCCCTATAGGAAATCGACGATGTTTATTGGGGCTCTATTGGGGTGCCCCTTGGGGCGTCTTCGGGGCCTCTTTTGGGGTATTGCTTCGGATCTCTTGGTGGCCTCTTTGGGCTTCTTGGGCGCTTCTTGGAGCTTCTTGGGGTCTCCTGAGGGCCTCTTGGGCCAAATGGCTCGCATTTTCGGTTCCTCGTCCCCGTCTTGGGCGCCGACTTGGGGCGTTCTTGAGCGGTTTGGGCGCCTCGTGGGCCGTCTTGGCCCCCTCGTGGGCCGTCTTGGAGCCCTCTTGGGGGTATCCTCGACCGGCTTGGATGCCTCTTGGGCCGTCTTGGACGCAGTGGAAGCCCAAAAAGCGAACACGCCAAAAATGACAGCTTCCCTATAGGAAACCGACGATGTTTGCTTATTTGGGGCTCTATTGGGGTGCCTCTTGGGGCGTCTTCGGGGCCTCTATTGGCGTGTCTTTTTCTGGTATCATATGAGCCTCTTGGGGCTTCTGGGGCGCTTCTTGGAGACTCTTGGGGTGTCCTTAGGGGTCTCTTGGGGCCGAAGGCGCGAATTTCCGGTTTCTCGTCCCCGTCTTGGGCGCCGCCTTGGGGCGTTCTTGGGCGGTTTGGGCGCCTCCTGTGCCGTCTTGGCCCCCTCGTGGGCCGTCTTGGAGCCCTCTTGGGGGCATCCTCGACCGGCTTGGATGCCTCTTGGGCCGTCTTCGACGCAGTGGAAGCCCACAAGGCGAACACGACAAAAATATAAGTTTTCCAATAAGAAATCGACGATGTTTGCTTATTGGGGCTCTCTCGGGGTGCCTCTTGGGGCGTCTTCGGGGCCTTCGGGGGCCTTCTTGGCGTCATGGGAGTCGTCTTGAAAGGCATCCAGAGCCATCGGAGCACATTTTCGAGCGTTCCGGAGCCATCTTCGGGCGATCTTGGACGGCCCCCGGCGCTCCGGCAGGGCTCCCGGCGCGCCGGGCCCCACATCTGTGGTCGGGGCTCCAGCCCCCTGCCCCCGGAACCGGTCCCCCGTGGGAGCTCACTGCGGCCGTCTCGGAGCCTCCTAGGGCGCCTCTTGGACCATTTTGGGCAATTTGTTCTTGAAGGGAGGGGATATTCTAAAAGTATGCGCTTTACGAAGGGAATGGGCCCAGGTTGGTTTTCCGGGGTTCTTTTGGGTGGCCTCTGGGAGCTTTCTTGGGGCTTCTTGGGGCCTCTTGGCCCTTCTGGAAGCCAGCGTAAGCCCTCTTGGAGCGCTCCTGGGGTTCTCTCGGGGCGTCTCGGAGGCCTCTTGGGCACTCTTAGGCGGACCGGGAAGCCTGGGGGCCGCCGGAAGAGCATCTAGGCCGTCTAGACCGTCTTGGGACGTTCTTGGGCGTCTCTTCGGGCCTTTTGGGGGCTCTTCTAAAACATAAATGTTTTGCGAAAAGGAATGGGACCAGTTTTGTCTCCCGGGGCTCTCTTGGAGGGCCTCTTGGAGCCTTCTTCGGGCGTCTTGAAGGCCTCGTGGCCCTTCTGGAAGCCATCTTGGGCCGTATCGGAGCGCTCCTGGGGCCCTCTCGGGGCGACGGGGAAGTCTCTTGGGCCATCTTAGGCGGACTGGGAGGCCTGGGGGCCGCTGGAGGAGCGTACCGGGAGGCCCTCCTGGGCCGTCTTGGGGCTGTCTCAGCCGTCCTGGAGCGTCCTTGGGCCCTCTTGGGGCTTTTTGACCGCTCCGATGTCCAAGGGAGCTGACATCCTAAAAACGCACGTTTTACGAAGGGAATGGGGCCATTTTGGCCTCCTGGGGCGCTCTTGGGGGGCCTCTTGGCGGCCTCTTGGGGCGGCTTGAGGGCCTCTGGGCCCTTCTGGAAGCGATCTTTGGCGGTCTTGAAGCGATCCTGGGGTTCTCTCGGCGCTGTTGGAGCCTTCTTGGGCGGACTGGAACGCGCGGGGGCCGCTGGAGGGGCGTCCCAGGACGAGGCCACTACCTATGTTCAAGGGGGGTTCTGGCCAGGGGCCTGGGGGCCGGGAACTCCCATATATATATTATATATATATATATATATATATATATATAATATATTATATATATATATATATATATATATATATACTAGAACCACGCGCGCGCTTCGCGCGCGCTTAGGTTCTGTCGAGTCACAGACCTAGGAATCGTTGCGAGAAGAAATTGGTGACGCGAAGCGTCTTGGGGGCGTCCTTGGACGTCTGGGGTCTCCTGGGGCCTCTTGAGGGGCCTCCTGGGGGCCTCCTGGCGGCCTCTTGGGGCGGAAGGCTCGAGCTTGCGGTTCGTGGTCCCCCTCTGGGCCCCCTCTTGGGCCCGTCTTGGGGCCCTCTTGGGCCATCTTGGGCGCCTCTTGGGCCGTCTTGGGGCCCTCTTGGGCTGTCCTGGGGCCCTCTTGGAAGCTTCTTGGGCCGTCTTGGGGCGGTCTTGGGCGCCTCTTGGGCCGTCCTGTAACGTCGGAAAGCCCAAAAGACAACTTTGTTGAAAATGTACGTTTTACGAAGGGAATGGGCCAATTTTTGCGTTTAGGGGCCCTCTTGGGACGCATGTTGGAGGCTTCTTGGGGCCTCTTGGGGGCGTCCTTGGACGTCTGGGGTCTCCTGGGGCCTCTTGAGGGGCCTCCTGGGGGCCTCCTGGCGGCCTCTTGGGGCGGAAGGCTCGAGCTTGCGGTTCGTGGTCCCCCTCTGGGCCCCCTCTTGGGCCCGTCTTGGGGCCCTCTTGGGCCATCTTGGGCGCCTCTTGGGCCGTCTTGGGGCCCTCTTGGGCTGTCCTGGGGCCCTCTGGGAAGCTTCTTGGGCCGTCTTGGGGCGGTCTTGGGCGCCTCTTGGGCCGTCCTGTAACGTCGGAAAGCCCAAAAGGCGACTTTGTTAAAAATGTACGTTTTACGAAGGGAATGGGCCAATTCTTGCGTCTAGGGGCCCTCTTGGGACGCATGTTGGAGGCTTCTTGGAGCCTCTTGGGGGCGTCCTTGGACGTCTGGGGTCTCCTGGGGCCTCTTGAGGGGCCTCCTGGGGGCCTCCTGGCGGCCTCTTGGGGCGGAAGGCTCGAGCTTGCGGTTCGTGGTCCCCCTCTGGGCCCCCTCTTGGGCCCGTCTTGGGGCCCTCTTGGGCCATCTTGGGCGCCTCTTGGGCCGTCTTGGGGCCCTCTTGGGCTGTCCTGGGGCCCTCTTGGAAGCTTCTTGGGCCGTCTTGGGGCGGTCTTGGGCGCCTCTTGGGCCGTCCTGTAACGTCGGAAAGCCCAAAAGACAACTTTGTTGAAAATGTACGTTTTACGAAGGGAATGGGCCAATTTTTGCGTCTAGGGGCCCTCTTGGGACGCATGTTGGAGGCTTCTTGGGGCCTCTTGGGGGCGTCCTTGGACGTCTGGAGGCCATCTTCAGCATCTCGGAGCCCTCTTGGAAGTTTCTTGGGCCGTCTTGGGCGCTTCTTGGGCCGTCTTGTCTGACTGGGGAGGCCTCCGGCAAGCCCCGACGAGCCTCCGGGCCCCCCGGGGTGCACATTTGTGGTCGGGGTCCCGGCCCCGGGCCCCCGGACCCGGTGCGCCGTTATGTATATATATATATATATATATATATATATATATATATACTATATATATATATATATATATATATATATATATATATATATGAGCTTAGGCTGCTACCCGTGCCAAGATCAATTTTCCTTCGGCATGCTCCGCTGCTTCGAAGCAAATCAAGAGAACGAGCGGCAGGCGGTGACAGGGCAGCACGATGGCGCTGACCTGAACGGACTGAGCGAGCGGCACTCAAGACTCTGAGCCCCCTGGGTTGGCGAAGTGACGCCCAGGAAGGTGGAAGATGGGGACGGCTGGCGGGTCCTGGAAAAAACTTGAGCATAAGTACAACATACGGCACTGAACGCAGCAAGAGATCATTAATGTGCAAGCACAACGCATGAGCTTAGGCTGCTACCCGTGCCAAGATCAATTTTCCTTCGGCATGCTCCGCTGCTTCGAAGCAAATCAAGAGAACGAGCGGCAGGCGGTGACAGGGCAGCACGATGGCGCTGACCTGAACGGACTGAGCGAGCGGCACTCAAGACTCTGAGCCCCTACCCACTGCCATCCAGTGTCTTGGCCTTGGCCACCACCAGCGCTGCAAGATCTTTGCAGAGCGCCGCAGGGTAAGGACACGCCCTCGAAGTCCAGAACACACCGAGCGGGTCTTTACCCTTCAGTGTTATGTGCGCCTTACCCGTTGCACTACACCTTTTTTGACAGCCTGTACACAGGCGGAGGGACGGCTGCGCTGGCAGCCAATTGAAACGCAAAAAGGTAGTCGACTTTTTCCAGGGGACCTGATACTGGCAATAATCAACAGAAGCCCACTCGGCGTGGGCGTCGCGGGCCATGTCCAAAAGCTCGGGGACCAGCCAGAGGCGAGACGAGCGAGGGTTCTCGAGAGAGAAGGGGGCTCCCGCCTCGACGGCAGCAGCCAGCAGGCGCATAACATTAGCGAGCAGACGATTGGCGATCCTCACCTTCTCAGCGTCCGCCGCCGCCAGCAGAGGGAGGCCGTGCAAGTTCGCATCGTCCCTGAGTGGCGGC